ATTGAAAAAATTATGTTTTAAGCAATTTTGAAAATCATGTCATCACTACTGAAACACAGTGAGAATAAACTGTTTTATGATTAGCGTATAAATATGTGACTAAAAAAAGTTTTTCAAATAAAGGCATAGCCGGTAGTTGTGTTGAGGGCACTGGTTAGTGACCCATATCCTCATTTGCCCATTCATTGCAAATCAGATAAACTTATAGTTTGGTAGAGGTATGGATTATGGGAGCGCAGGTATTCAACATACAATGTCACCATAGCCTATAACTTATGGTAATATTAATCCAAATCCAACCATTATATGGCAAAGAGTGACACAAATGAAAAATCAATACTAATTAATGTTTAATTGAAGTTTTCGACATTGACGTCAAGGTTACCGCTGGAGCCCCACAATCCCTACCCATCCCTTCCCTTCCCTTCCCTTCATAGCAGATGGCATACGAGAGACAAACAGTCAAACAAAACAATTAATTCATTTGAAGTGCACTTTACTGAAAGCAAACAAATTCAATGCCTAACCATTGGTAGTGTAGATAAAGCAATGAAAAGACAATCACAAGACTTACGCAATTTCCAGCACCGCTTACACGGGTTGGTGGCCGTCATCGGTGCCATCGCTTCCAGAGGATCCCACAGTCACTATCACTGGTCACACACTTCTCATACCATTTACTTCTTAGTAGTAGATATACCGGTGATCACCGTTTGTCACAATCCGTGGCAAACAAATAGCATTTATCTGAACCGCACTATCGCTGACTCACTGTTTTTCACGCATTTATAGTTAGTTAGCGAACAATAGACTTTATTATTTAATTTAGTTGTTTTATTAATACAAAAACACTGTTTGCTAATTATGTACTTTGTTTAGTAAGTTTCAAACACCTCTATTCGTTTGCAGATTATTTTGTTATTTTTGTCGTTTCATACGATACCACATAAGACTTGACTATTATTTGAACAAAACACGAGTTTAACTCAAATATCGATAAGAAATATAGATTTTCATTATTTCATGAAATATTCATTTATTGCGAGTCCCGTCAAATGCAATACATTATACAATAACACTAACTATTGTTTTATACTTTTTCAATGCATTGCTAAAGCGATTAGTTTTACATTAAAGTCAAAACAATATTTTCCTAAACTCTTTGTGTGAAAACTCTATGAAAACATGGGTTAAGTAAAAGTTGGCGTTAATTAAAGCCATGTATTAATGACTTACCGATTATTGGCATCAATTGAATGCACTCTCAACACAAAGGTTATGAAAGTTGTGTTGAATATACTGCACAACAAAACAATACTAGAGTTTCAATAACACTGTAATAGTTATAGCGATTGAATGGTGAGTAATGTTTGGGTATTAAAGTGCAAACGTTCAATCAATCGCTTGTTATCTGAAATAATAAATTAAATCAACAAAATAATTATGTTTTTGTGACAAACGATTAATACATGAAACAAATCATTCAAAGTTTGTGGAGATAAGCAAACGTCTAATAAAAACTATTTTTGTCGTTTCATACGATACCACATAAGACTTGACTATTATTTGAACAAAACACGAGTTTAACTCAAATATCGATAAGAAATATAGATTTTCATTATGTCATGAAATATTCATTTATTGCGAGTTCCGTCAAATGCAATACATTATACAATAACACTAACTATTGTTTTATACTTTTTCAATGCATTGCTAAAGCGATTAGTTTTACATTAAAGTCAAAACAATATTTTCATAACTCTTTGTGTAAAAACTCTATGAAAACATGGGTTAAGTAAAAGTTGGCGTTAATTAAAGCCATGTATTAATGACTTACCGATTATTGGCATCAATTGAATGCACTAGTTGTGTTTCCAATACTTTCAACACAACTTATATGACGTGTTGTTTTGTTATGATCTCAAAGTTATTGTGACATTATCAATATCGCTAACTTACCACTCATTACAAACCCATAATTTCACGTTTGCAAACGGAAATTCAAATGAATGACAACAATGAAAGTCAACGTTATATGAGAGACAACACCTTTACGACCGATACAGGTATGAGAGGTATGAGAGACACGGCTTATAAGGTATGAGACCTCAAGTAAGGCTTACACAACATTACACTGTGAACATCACATACTGTGAGCCATACTATACGTTGCCATACATTCACTCCCCTCTCATATACAGACATACCTTATATTCACCATAACTATGACATTATTGATGCAATGTATTAGACGTGCATTCATTGAATAACAGGTTAAATGCATTGAATAATAAGCCAACAGTTAGGACAGTATTGGACTCTATGTTAGTATTGAAGTGTTTATGTCTAACAACAGCTGATTTGCATGACATGTAAGAGACTATTAGTAAACACTAATCAACACTTAGTTTTCCACTCATTGTTTCAATTGATTTACTTTTAATGAGTTTTGTTTCATTCAGTCATTCATTTCAATGTTTTAACAATCATTTGTTAAGACATTTATATCACTGTTTTAATTGGCTTTCAATGTGAGAGTGAGAGACAAAAACATTGATATTGAGAGCAAAACTAAACTCATTTTGATTTGCAATTTATGTTGAAAAAAGTTTTTATTTCGCTTTACACTTGAATTCATTATTTAAATAATAAACAAAAACTCATTTAAAACACGTTTGATATTAGTTTTGGACATAAAAAGCTGTATAATTATTTTAATTTGATATCTATATTGCAATTCACACATAATTATTAGTATAAAAAAGTTTTGTCAAAGTTTTGTCAAAGTTTTGTCAAAGTTTTGTCAAAGTTTTGGCCCTAAAGCGAGACATGAATTGAATTGAATATGAATATGAATATTGAGTTGATATGAGATTAATGACAGCAATGATACCTAAATCGGTGCTACCATTGAGTGGTATGCAGAGAGTGGTGAAGTCGGTGGTAATGAGTGTCTGGAGACAGTCATCATCAGGTGTTGCCTACATTCAGGGCCAGGAGGTCAACAAAACGAGACAATACTTCTATTATATCGATCACAACGGAATGGTAGCTCTTTCTCTCATTATTAGTATTTCCATTATTTTCTTATTTATTATGATTTTTTGTGAAAACAATTTCAAATATTATTTATATATGTATTTCATATCCAATATTGCATTCAAGTCTAGTGTTGAGTGCATTCAAGCGAATCATAAATATGTGCTAAATATGAGTGTTTGAACCATACATTCAATCAAACATACACTCAGTCTATAAGTTATTAAGAATTTTGCTTTTTTGCACAATTTGTGCAAAACTTTTAATCATTTTTTCTATAATTCTCACTACAATTCACTTCTTATGTCTGTCTGTGTTTCGTAACGAATGTCTCATTAATTGATTTGTTTTTGCTTTTATTGAACGCAAAGTTGTTTTTAGACGATTCAAAGATGAAAAACTTCACCACTTGTTTCAAAGACAAACACTTCTTGCAGTTCTTCTTCAGGTCTCACTGCGGTTTGCTTTGCCCAAAGATACTCTTTCTGAAAGGTAAGTATAGCAACACGCCGTCTCTTTGGTTAAAATAGGCATTCAGATATAAGTAGAGTTAACCGTAAACTCCGTTTTTTCAAAGAAAATGCAAACATTAGTGCAGTTTTCAGTGTATGACTCGATTGCTATTTATTGATTTTTATTTGATTTTTTGTTGTTTAATTCAAACTTTAAAGTTTAAACCAAATAAGATATTATTTTCACGATCTAACCTACTATTAATATAATAGCAAATATTGATTCATTCAATCAATGATTGAAATTGGGTTTAGATCCTAAAAGAAAGTCAATTACAAATAGTTTTGTTTAAATTATCATTAAACTAAATATTGCATCGATTTCTGATGTACTGTTTTAGGTTGCGATGATTTGCCTATAGTTTTCACTCACATAATCAATGATAACAATAATTATCTGTTATCTTATGGCTATACCGACAACTTATTGACCTTTCCCTTCGAACCTAAAACACTATACATGAGACCTCAATCTGATGACAGTACAGATGGATCTGGAGGTCGGATATACCACAAAGCAATGGAAAAAGTGGGTGGTATTGGTCTCATTAGGTCTGCACTGGCACTTGAATTGAGTAAACATTTCAAATTCAATACTAGAGTGACGCCAAACCAAACGGGTTTCTATGAGAAAGACTTTCCATTCATATCGTTGTGCGGCAGAGAAACCAATTTTATCCGTAAGTCTATATTCATCTCAATTGGCATTTGAGGCAAAAAAGTTTCAAAATGCTAACATTAGTGCAGTTTTCAGTGTATGACTCGATTGCTATTTATTGATTTTTATTTCATTTTTTGTTGCTTAATTCAAACTTTAAAGTTTAAACCAAATAAGATATTATTTTCACGATCTAACCTACTATTAATATAATAGCAAATATTGATTCATTCAATCAATGATTGAAATTGGGTTTAGATTCTAAAAGAAAGTCAATTACAAATAGTTTTGTTTAAAATATCATTAAACTAAATATTGCATCGATTTCTGATGTACTGATTTAGGTTGCGATGATTTGCCTATAGTTTTCACTCACATAATCAATGATAACAATAATTATCTGTTATTTTATGGCTATACCGACAACTTATTGACCTTTCCCTTCGAACCTAAAACACTATACATGAGACCTGTTAGACTACTGTCATGTCTACCTAGACCTCCAGCCTATATGGTGTTTCGTTACCTTTTTCACCCACCATAACCAGAGTAATCCAGACGTGACCGTGAACTTAACTCATTTGTAAAGTTTAAGTTATGTCAAAATCCTAAAATTCCGACACATTTTGAATGGAAAGGAAAGACATATGAATTAACAAATGAATTGCAATCAAAGTTTGTTTAAGTTTATTTTGTTTGCATTAAAAATATTAACGTTGCGATAATAATTAAAAATATGTTTATATTATATAAAATGTATTAATACTTTTAGACTTTTATATGACTATTATACCATAATAGTAAAAATATAATCTAAAAATTAATCAAAGCTTTAGTTTCTTAATATCCTGCGGATTAAAGTCTTGTCTCAATTTGAGCGCTTGTTTCACTTCATTGGGTGTCATTCTCCACGGACTTAACATACTTGAGCCCACATTACCGGCCGCAGTGGAGCTGGGGTTCAAATATTCGTTGATTTCGTCAATATTATCCAAATTTAAAATAATGGAAATGTGCTTCAATTTGGAGAACTTGTCGCGTATGGACCACGTCGTGGCACTCGTCAGGTAATTGATGATTGACCTCAACTCGCGGTCAAACTGAAAGCCTCCCAACTATTGAACGCCAGTAAACAATTAGTACTGTATCTCAAGTTTAGATTTATGGTTATAATGTCTTACCTTATTATAGCTACACTTAAGCACTCCGTCGCCCAATCGTTGAGTCAATTCAGTAGAAAATAGACTGAGAAGAGTGTCGCTATTGTTTTGAGACAGACTCTCCTTAAATGACTTAATCATTGCATCAATACTTATGACAAAAGTTTGCATAAAAGGTCGCAAACCATCCGTCGACTCATAACTACTTAATTCTTCTTCAGTGAGAATATGATTACTTGAGATGAAGGCGTCGACCCATATCTTGATCCTGGGCTTCAGGGCAGACGAGCACAACTGTCCCAAACCGGACGTAGTGATCGACTTGAAGCGTCCACTCAGAGCGACCAGATCTGAGAGACAACTCTCGAGTTTCTCGTTCTGTTGTTTCTGCAAAACCGATGCCTTCTTGACGTCTTCAGAGATGGATGTCTTGAGACTCTTAACGTATTCACAAGCGGTGTCCAAATTGTTCAGAGAACTCAAGAATAGTGTTTTTGCTTTCTCTAAGTCACTGGCCGTCTGTAGATATCTTCCCGCTTGGAGTGCATTGTATGCCTGACTCAAGTCAAGGGCTGCCGCAGCGCCTGATATGGTGGCAGTACTCGGGTATCCGTAACGCAACCTCTCATTCATTGCTTCGCAAAAGGATGTCTCCAACAGAGACACCGAATGGTTAATCATAGCACAGACCACATCAACACTTCCACTCGAAAGCGCTCTTTTGATACACTTCTTGATAATAAAGAAGACGTCGTCTAACATACTGGACGTCAGAGCACCGGATGTCTCGACGCAATCCAATTGAATCGCTTTAAGAGTGGATTCTCTGATGAAATACTCTTCCATGAGAACATAGATTCCGTTCATTTCGTGAATCAAATGACTTAATTCACAGTTTCTTATAATGGAATCGATTTGATTCAGTCTTTCAGTCCTTTCATTGCGGTCTTCACTTCGATCACTGTTTTCTGGAAAAGCGATTTCGATGTCACTCTTCGTTCGCTTCGATATAAATCTCAAATAAGTTTCACTTCTATTGTTGAGAACAATAATTTCGGACAACAGTTGATCCAAATCTCTTGGATCTACTTTAGTGACCGTTTGATAACTAGAACTCGGTTTCAGTGATTTGGTCACTAAAGACACGATTTGTTGCAAATTCTTCTTAGCGTTGAAGTCCTCGATAATCCTTTTGCTGAGACGATCGCACTCTTTCTGAAGGACTTCGATGACTGTTCCCAACTTTCCGGGTCCGTAATAGGTCTCGATTAGCGGCTGATGGATGTCCACAGTCTTGGCAATGCATTCGTAGAGTTGAGTCAATCTGTCTGAATGTCCGGTCGACGAGTGGTTTGTATTGTTTTTGGCCTTTTCGTTGACTTTTGTGCACAAATAGTTGGAAAACTTCTTCAAACCCTCCGAGTGTTGGTTCAGAAGTGGGAATATCTTGAAGAAGCGCTCGACTGAGGCCACGTCGTCGTCGCTGACCGCCTCGTCAAACCTCTTCATCACTATATTCTTGAGCCGATTCTCGGCGTCGTGTAAGCGATCGAAGGCCTCATCCATTGACGAGGTCTTCGCCGAACTCGTGGTCACCTCCTCTTCGGCTGACTTCCTCAGAATGGACTCATCCATGGATAGGAAGCGGTGGATGTGTGCGGCCGCCTGTTCGTAGTCCTCGCCGGTCAGCGCCTTCTGGATGCCATCCGTACAGAACTTGAGGTCTAAGATGTCTTCAATGCGCTGAAGACATTGAGTGACCCGTGTTTTGGCGCAATCCAGTCGACGGACTTTGAAGGACACGCTGTCGGCCAGCGATGACGTGAAGCCAATCAGTGACGACAACTGTTTGGCGTCGGATTCAATCAAAGACATGTTTGGCATATCTTTGCGCAGACGAGCCATCGATGTCTCCAAACTCTTGTCGTCCGACAACAACTCATTGATCTCTTTCTCTGCACTCTTCTCCTCATTACATAAGTATTGATAGGCTTTGAGGACGTCGTCGAGCGTTGAAAGTGTGGACAAATCAATGGTATTATCCATGAGTTTGTGGTCACAACAAGACATCACTCATTAAAACCATTCAAATGATACACGTCTTCATAATAGTTGGCATTTTTGGTGACGATATTTGTGGTGAACAGCAGTTGCCGTACAAAAGAGGCACTCAATAGAAGCACATGTCTTGCCGTTCACTATGAGTTGGGCTCTCATTGCAATCAAACCATTCATCCATTGATCACTCATTCATCCGATTATGCATTCATTTCACACTCAACACAATCAATTGAACCATTGATTCATACGGTTATCATTTGGTAAGTGTTTGTATCATATATTATATGTATTTTTGTATTCAATTTGTCGTGATTTTCATATAATATTTTGCCATTAAATTGGTTACCAATTCAATACAATTACCGCATGTTTTCATACAATTATCATACAAATGATGTAAATATCGTTATAATCTGATGACATAATGATTAGTTAATTCCTCTAAGAAGTACTGATGTATGCCATGAGTGGACAATGTGTTTGTCTGTGTGTTTGTAATCCATGACTAACTCGTGTTTGATCCCATGCCTAGACGTGAGGGTGCGGTGGAGGTGTGGTGACCAGTGATGTACTTATACAACCTAACCCTCCAGAGGGCGTCTGGTGTGGTGCATGCAGTTCACGGCAGTTTCGCCGGCACTAAGCAGCAGGAGATCGCTGTGGCGAAGGGAAAGGTGTTGGAACTGCTCAGACGACTACACTTATGGCCGTTTTAGGTATGTAACGAAAGCCAGCTTCACAAACCACAGTAGGCTAGCTACGAGTGGAAAGCCGACTGCCCGCCGAGATTTCTGATAAACCACTAGCCTAGGCTAAGGCCACGTATCGTTATTCTCGAGTATTTGCCCCAAAAGAATGTCTTCGATAAGGTATGCATTGATTTTGAATGTGCTGTGGATTTGAATGTATTTAACTGATGAACAAACCTGTCTGTCCACTGAATATTCGTGTGGATATCATAACCAAATTTACCTCAATTTATATCTGATTTATGCTATAATTTAGTGCAATAAACATGTATTTAGTGAATGTCTAACAGTTGTATTGATTGGTGTGACTACAGGTGCATCAGGAGACCTTTGGCAAGAGTGGTTGTCGTCGTATAGTTCCCGGACAGTTCTTGGCTACTGATCCCAAAGGACGGGCTGTTATGATAAGTAAGTTTCGTTGAATTATTCATATCTTTATGAGTATATTATGGTATAAACGACCGGTTCTATCGAAATGATGTAATTATTGTTCTCATCATAACTCTAATGATGAATAAAATTCCTCTAAGAAGTACTGATCGATTCAATTGTTAGCTTATTATTAGAAATATTTTTGAAGCCAAATATAATTACTATTACTGATTGGTAAACATTGCATATCCACGACAACTCTTCGTTTTTAACCAAATGTAAGACTTAGCGCTACGTTCGCGAGCCGATTGGTATAGAAGTGGTAATCTCCGGGTGTTTAGGTTGTGAATTGTGTTTCATACGGTTGGCATTGATGTGGGCTTTGAGAACCCGATGTTTGCCTGTCTTGAGATGGATTACGAAGAGGCGGACACCGACCCAACCGGAGAAGCGGCACAACTGACGCAACAAACACTGACTTTCTATGAATTAGATTTGGGTCTCAATCATGTGGTCCGCAAATACAGTGAACCTCTTGAAGAACACGCAAACTTCTTAATCACTGTTCCCGGCGGTACTGAAGGCCCTTCTGGTGTTCTCATCTGTTCCGAGAATTATGTCACTTACAAGAACTTTGGAGACCAACCGGACATTCGATGTCCGATACCTCGACGACGCAACGATTTGGACGATCCCGAGAGAGGGATGATATTCGTGTGTTCGGCCACTCATAAGACCAAATCGATGTTCTTTTTCCTCGTGCAGACAGAACAGGGAGACGTCTTTAAGCTGACCCTTGAGATCGAGGACGACATGGTCACTGAGATTAAGCTCAAGTACTTCGATACGGTTCCCGTCGCCGCCAACCTCTGCGTCCTTAAGACCGGATTTCTATTCGTTGGCTCAGAGTTTGGGAATCACTATCTCTACCAAATCGCACACTTAGGCGATGACGACGACGAGCCTGAGTTCAGCAGTTCTATGCCTTTAGGAGAGGGCGAGACCTTCTGGTTCTCTCCGCGTCCGCTCAAGAACTTGGTTTTAGTGGACGAATTGGAGTCTCTGTCGCCTATAATGCACTGTCAGATTGCAGACGTGGCTAATGAAGACACCCCTCAAGTGTTAGTCGCCTGTGGAAGGGGTCCGCGATCTACACTAAGAGTTTTGAGGCACGGCTTAGAGGTGTCTGAGATGGCTGTGTCTGAACTACCGGGAAGTCCTAACGCTGTTTGGACTGTCAAGAGAAGGGCTGACGAAGAGTTCGACTCTTATATTGTCGTCTCGTTTATTAACGCAACACTTGTCTTATCTATTGGAGAGACCGTTGAGGAGATAACAGACTCCGGTTTTTTGGGAACCACTCCAACGCTGTCGTGCGCGCAGATCGGAGACGACGCTCTCGTCCAGATATATCCGGACGGTATTCGTCATATCAGAGCTGATAAACGAGTGAATGAATGGCGAACTCCCGGGAAAAAGCATATCTCAAAGTGTGCTATAAATCACAGACAGGTTGTGATTGCTTTAACCGGCGGTGAGATTGTGTACTTTGAAATGGATATCAGCGGACAGTTGAATGAATACACCGACAGGAAAGACATGAATTGTGATGTGATTTGCATGGGTTTGGGAGAAGTGCCGGCCGGTGAACAGCGCTCCAGGTTTTTGGCCGTCGGTCTCTCGGATAACACCGTTCGCATCATATCACTCGATCCATCGGTTTGTATATTTTTATTGCCATACAATTGATTTAATGGTAATTAATAGACCTTATGATGATTATTGTGAAGTCCGTGTTTCAACTGAATATTGTGTTGAACTTTCCTTATCTGATAAATACTATAAATTTTTAATTAATACCGTAATTGTACAGTAATTATATATAGTGTAATGCACTTAATATTCTGTGTTATAGTTTTCTAATCTATTTTCGTATTAATGTTTGCCTTTAGGAATGTCTGTCTCCCCTCTCAATGCAAGCACTGCCGGCAACTCCGGAGTCTTTATGTATCGTTGAAATGGGATCAAAGAGCGAATCGAAAAGCTCAGGACGTCTTTACCTGAATGTTGGCCTTCAAAATGGTGTGCATTTGAGGACAGTTCTCGACGAAGTGACCGGCGATTTGTCTGACACGAGGACCCGGTATTTAGGGACCCGTCCTATCAAACTATTTCGGGTCCAAATGCAAGGAAGCGAAGCATTGCTGGCGATGTCGAGTCGTTCGTGGCTTTGCTATTACCACCAAAACCGGTTCCATTTGACTCCATTGTCGTACGAGATGTTGGAATACGCCTCTGGTTTCTCGTCAGAACAATGTCCCGAAGGAATAGTCGCCATCTCTGCCAACACTCTCAGAATCTTAGCGCTCGAAAAGTTGGGCGCCGTCTTCAACCAGCAGTCGATTCCATTGGAATACACGCCACGAAAGTTTGTGATTCATCCGGAAAGTGGTTATTTGATTGCCATTGAGACCGATCACAACGCCTACACTCAGAAGAATAAACGCGTCCGAAGACAAGAGATGGCCGAAGAGATGGTGGAAGCGGCCGGTGATGACGAACAGGAACAGGCGGCAGAAATGGCGGCCGCTTTTCTCAGCGAGGATTTGCCCGAAAGTATTTTCGGTGCGCCGAAGCCTGGGTTGGGTCAGTGGGCGTCCATTATTCGAGTACTCGATCCCATCAGTGGACAGACATTACATAAGATAGAACTCGACCAAAACGAGGCGGCATATAGTATAGCCCTTTGCCGGTTCATAGGACAGGGAGACCTGCCCTTCATTCTCGTCGGAATAGCCAAAGATCTTCATCTAAACCCTCGTGAGTGCAGTGGAGGTACTGTTCATACGTATCGCTTATTAGATGAGGGAAAGCGACTCGAATTGATGCACATCACGGCTGTGGAAGAGGTGCCGCACGCCATCTGTCCATTCCAGGGACGGGTGGTTATAGGCGTCGGGAAACTGCTTCGGATCTACGATTTGGGCAAAAAGAAACTGTTGAGGAAATGCGAGAACAAGAACATGAATAACATGATTGTGACCATCAGTGCGATGGGAAGTCGTCTATATGTGGGCGACATTCAGGAGAGCTTTTATTTCGTGAGATATAAGCGCTCAGAGAATCAGTTGATTGTATTCGCCGACGACTCGATCCCCCGATGGGTGACAGCGATGTGTGTCCTCGACTACGACACTCTGGTGGGCGCCGACAAGTTTGGCAATATTGTGGTGATTCGGTTGCCTCAAGGCATCAACGATGAGGTGGACGACGACCCCACAGGCATTAAGTCGTTGTGGGACAGGGGGTGGTTAGGCGGCGCCTCCCAAAAGACGGACATATTGTGTAACTTCCATATCGGGGAAATCATACTATCGATGCAAAGGGCGACACTCATTCCCGGCCTGTCGGAGGCGCTCGTCTACACCACCATTTCGGGCACAATCGGTGTATTAGTTCCGTTCACTTCCCACGAAGACCAGGACTTCTTCACGCACCTGGAGATGCACATGCGCTCAGAGAACCCGCCCCTCTGTGGTCGCGACCACCTGTCGTTCCGCTCGTATTACTATCCCGTGAAGAATGTAATCGATGGCGATCTCTGCGAACAATTCAATTCCATCGAAGCCCCCAAACAAAGAAGTATTGCCGGAGATATGGACCGAATTCCAGCCGAGGTATGTGTCCATTGCATTCGTATGCAGTTTCTAATGGTTTGCATTCATGTCAATAACAAATGATTGTGTTTTTCAGGTGTCGAAGAAGTTGGAAGACATAAGAACTCAATACGCGTTTTAATTGTCTCTTAATTTACATTTAATGTACAAAATGTAAGTTTGACTCGAAATACAAACAATTTCTTTACATTAACAACGAGTTAACATTGAATATGTTTAAATAAATACAAACATAAGGTTTATTAAACAAAACACTTAACAAAATTGACAAAAATATCCGAATATATACGATGTGTTTTCGTGAAATAGTATTGTTTTATGTATAGTTTTGGCCTCTTTTTAATTAAATTACTTTTAACTGAACATAAGATTGAATTTATTGATACATTAAGTAATTCTTTAACTTTGTTGGCAAAGGTAGAAATGGTATGACTTTGGGGGACCGGATTGTGGCCAGTATTGCATTACGACAGGCGCTCATAAGCGATGACGTGCCGTACAGCTGAACGATTCGCACCTGTTTTGTCGTCCCATAAATGTCTACAACTATTCATTCATTTCATTAAATTATTCCAATATTTATACCGATTATATAAATCATAGTTTTATATAAATATATTTCAAGTCATTGCTAATCATTTGTAAATAAAAGCACAAAAGCATTGCTTACCAGCAAAAAGTGGTCCGTTATTGTAAGGGATGTCCTTAGCGTAGACTCCGTGGTCCTGTTAACAGTTTATTGCATTTAGATATTAATAACCATTATATACGGTATTCTGGTATATCATGTCATACTATAATTAAGTGTTAAATTATACCTCGCCGTTGAATATGAAGTGCATGTCCGCCGAATGGTCTCCACTCACCACATACATGACCCCCACTTTACTGCCCACATCTGTCGGCAGGTACCCCATGTTGACAGTCGTGTCCACACTCTTAGACGAGTCCGCACTGTTAGGCGACTCAATGACACACCGGCTGTACATCTGATTCACAAAACTTTGATGAAAGGGAGGCGGAGATTGTGAGCTCGCGGTCGATGTGGAGGGCGTCGGGCTATCCGTGGCATCTAAACCTCCGTTTGTCTGCAAAGTGTTGCCAATGATGTCAATGCCTTCGAGTAAGGAGTTCTCGAAAGCGGATTCATTGATGTCTTCGGTCTGCAGATTGGATGGTCTGAGCGCTGGTCTCAACAAATACCGGGGAATCACTCCACGACTCGTGCGAATCTGTTCTCCATTTCCTAATATCGATGTCTCTGAGTGTCGACACCTTTGACTGCATCGGTGTCTTTGCCTGCGCTGTCCGTTGCGGTGATTGTCGTGGGTTTGCAGGGAATGTTCGCCGACGAGAGGGACGTCGTGGGCGTTGTCCGACTGTCGGGCGGTCGAGGCGGAGGTGTCGGTGCCCTCGGGGTTGTTGGGAATGGCGAAGACCCAGGAGTTGCCGCCGTTCTGGAGGTCTGGTAAGGCGTACTGCGGAAGTGTGAACTGCGAGGACGGGTCCAGTTGCGTGAGTCCGAGCCTCATGTGTCCACTCCATCCGCGCTCATTGCGCTCGATCTCGATCACGAAGATCTCATTGGGAAGCAATGGCTTCTCCGAGAAGGCGATCGCGTGGGCGAAGGAGGCCTTCCGGAAGGCCACCACCGAGTCGTCCATCAGAATGATGTTCTGTCCGTGATATGCATGGAAACGGGTCACCACTGGACACACAGACATCATCCAAGGTTTGGTCACCACGAGACACAACCAAACATATGCTCCGATCACTTGTGCATCAGATTTATGGCAACCTTTTAATCGTCAGATTTGACCACAAATTATGTAAACAATCATTACATCAATCATTCAATGGTTCAGTCAATGAGTCAATGCTTTGATGCCTTCACTGCCAACACATAAATAGCGTCACTAATAGTCACTCAGAGTTAGGGCTGATTCTCGTCGAACTGATTCTTGTGGTACACAATCACTTCCAGAGGAATGTCTTTCGCTAAATGCCTGTCCCAATGAGTAGTTTACAAACAAACAGGGTAGTTTACTTGAATACTTACTCAGTTGTTTCATAATAGCTTGCTATTCTATAGAGTCTATAGTATAGAGTCTATGCTATATTACAAATAGAGTATATATTCTTACGGTATATCAGTTCCGGAAGTGATAGTAAACTATAATACTATAAGTAACTATAGTAAACTTAGGATAAAGTGGTAATCATTGTCTTATGATTATAACAAACACCGTATTTAACACTATATACAGTATGTATTCATTCATTATATACTCACCGTTTTTGAGAACTTATTTGAATTTAAATAATTTTTAAAAATATTTTTTATTTATAAAATAAGTATACAATTCTTGAAAAGTAAGAAAATGAATCCAACTCTGGACTCAATACTAATTAATGAGTATTTGACACAAATATGAACTAATTTTCAAACTAATCAACAATTTTATAATAGAGTACAGCAAACAGAATTATGAATACAAATATTGAACAATATTTACAGTGTATTACAGTATAATATATCGGATGTGTAAATGTACTCTATTTGTAACATTTGCTTATTATTCCTTATCTTATCAATGGACCGGTGCTCACAAATAGCTCTCTCTCTCTCTCTCTCTCTCTCTCCTTAACCTAAAATTGAAAAATAAATATTATGTACAGAAGATATGATTGTGGAGAATGGAGTCAATATTGATTTGAATTGTTTTTAATTACAGACTATTTCTAGGAAAAGCTGATGAAGACGTGAACAGAGACTTGTTTTATGAGCTTTTAATATCTCTTTACATACTGTAAGATTCACATCTTATAGTATAGAAACTTTGGTTTAATACACGGAATAAAGATTTGAATCCAATTAAAAGTGTTGAATAGTATTACTGTATTAGTGTTATCCGCACACATATAGCAAACCCAAACCCAAACACTAACTTTAAAGTCATATTAAATAAGAAGCGAATGGATTGAATGGATAGGAAGCGATGACCACAAGTAGTGTGGATGAGGATGTGAGGGATGGGATGACAGGGATGTATGTGTGATGTGGATGTGGTGCGGGAGATGGCGTGTGGTGTGTTTGGTAGGCTGTGCAGTGTTGGGATCGCTTCATGGACTCACATTCAGTGATTTGATGAGGGGTTCAGTGCTGTCACAGTAATGGCGTTCACTATACAGATCTGTGGACTGAGAGAGTGTTAGAGAGTGTTGAACACTGTGTGAGAGTGTTTCAAGTGAACTGTAATACTGAACGACTGAATCACTGAATCCATGAATGTATGTATGGATTGAATGAATGGATGGATTCAATGGATCTCTGGATTCAATGGTTTTCGTCAAACTCTTGTTAAACATGTTTTCCAGTGTTTGTCATGTTTTCAATGTGAACCAATCATTTCAATCGATTTAATTCATTAATGTTTGCATCACTTAATGGCAATCCATTGCTGAGACAGTGAAGCACATCCACAGCAATGACAGACAATTGTGGTAATAGTGGTGTCCATACAGTGATTGGCCTCAAGAGTCGGCTCCACACGTGAGGCCACCGATTGGGTTATCAATTGAAGTCTAATTGGATGCGAGTTTGGGTCTCAAGACACTAAACCACTCATCACTGTGAAGCTCATCCATCAAAACATATTACCATTGATTGCCATCTCATCTCTTAATTGTTATTTCTATTGATTTGTTTTGTGAACACTTTCTCTCAATTGATGTCACCGTCGGAACCAATGGTTCAATGAATTGGTGTATTGGCTGTGCTTCTCATCGAAAGTGATTTCTGTTGACAATCAGTTGCCAATTGGTTCCCAATTGGTTGCCAATTGATATAAATCCATATTTTGTGTCCGAAGAGGAATAGTGTTAAAAGTGGACACAATTGAAGCGAAGAGTAATTCAAAACTGGAATCAGAAGAGAGTGAAGCGAACCGAAGACCATCTCTTTTGGCGAATGTAATGATGNACTGGAATCAGAAGAGAGTGAAGCGAACCGAAGACCATCTCTTTTGGCGAATGTAATGATGGGATGTTTTGGTGGATCCAACTCCAAGAATGACGCCGAAGAGGACAAGAGACGCAAAGAGGCGAACAAACGCATCGAGAAGCAGATCCAGAAGGACAAGCAGATCTATAGGGCCACACATCGGCTTCTACTGCTCGGTGAGTACTGCCCGACCTCCCTGTCCCTCATCAAGTGCATTCATTTGCATTTATATTACGGTTATTGTAATCATTATAATCGTGTGTCTCATGTGAAGCTATGCTCCCATTTAGTGTGCATTCAATTGAACCACTTTTAAGCGATTGATTTGAATTACAATTAATTGTTTGCATAATTCAGGTGCGGGTGAGTCCGGGAAGAGTACGATTGTCAAGCAGATGAGGATTTTACACGTCAATGGTTTCAGTGAAGAGTAAGACAGTTATCCCTTTTTACAAACCAATTCTCGTATTTAGCCATTCATTCAATTGTTGATAATATTTATTTCCTAACTCGTGGTTTTTGTGAATCACTTTGATAAATACTTTCATTTGTAGTAAATATTTGTGTTGTTTTAATGAGACTGAGATTTAGCCTCAAATTAGTAGTACTTTAGTGGCAAAAGTGGTTTTGAAATGAGTTTAATATTGAATGTGTTTATAGGGATCATAAGCAGCCAAATGAACGCCTTATTACAGCGCAGTTTTCTCTATAATTAATTATTTATTTAATTTGAAACTCATTTCA